CAGAGGAGGGGCCCAAGAAACTCTCAAAGCCCTCCTCCCCCACCCCCCGGGCTGGCGAGGCCGACTACCCACTCAGAAGCTTTGAACGGAGGAATCAGGGTATCGTCACCCCGGCTGCTTGCCTCTTACCACTTCTAGAAAAAAATCCACGTGCGGTCTCTTATGTACAAAAAAACGGACTGGATGTTTGTCAATGACGACCTAGAGAGAAAAAGAGACAGGGAGGGAAGAGGGGTTTTAATCAAGGCAGAGGAAGTACCCTAGACCAGCACAGCTTCCCCTCTTGGTTGTCTGAACAGATGTCAGGAGGACGTCCAGGGACAGAGAAGCCCTGCCAGGCAGGGCATGTCCTTTTACAAGGAAGCTGCTGCCATCCAGAGTCTGTCGGACCGTCTTTCTCTCTCTCATGACCCACCACTACAGATGGGCACGAACCGCCCATTTCACAGTTCGTGCTGGTTCGTTTAGCAGCCAAACCGGTGTTTCAGCGCTTCCCAGCCCCTACTCCTCCAGGGGGGAACCCATTCAAGGGGCAGGGCCCCGACTTCCCTGCACTCCCTCTGAGCAGAACACCCACCAGTGGAGCCAAGGGCTGGGAAGCGCCGGACACTTGTCTAGCTGCTAAACGAACTGGGACGAACTGCCAAAGCGGCAGTCCGTGCCCATCTCTGCCCAGCACCACGGACTGCGACGACTGGGAGAGACGGGAACTGTGTGCGACATCTATAAGACAGCAGGTTTCGGGGTGAACACGCACAAGGACTCCTCACCCTTTTAATCCACCTGCACACTTCACTTAAGAATCTAGCACTCGGATTCAGTTCTGCTCGTGAACAGGGAGAGGAGCTGGGGCTGGTAGTTCTCAACTTGTGCTTTTGCTGGCAGTCCAGCTGTTTTGGATTGCCAGTTCCCAGAAGCTTTGGACTGCAGGGCCAAACACCACGGATTCTAAGAGCTGAAGTCCAAAAGATGTCGAGTTCAGGCAAGAACTGACAAACGCTACCATATTACTCACAACCTACAGTTGTGCCCCGCTTTACGACTGCCCCACATTACAACGAAACCGCATTATGACGACGTTTTTTCGATCGCAAAACAATGGTCTAAATAGGCTTTTTTCGTTTTGCGATGATTGGTTCCCTGTTTCCAGAATCAATTCTTCGCAATACGACGATTTTCCTACAGCTGATTGGCGGTTTCAAAACGGCCACCGGGTAAATAAAATGGCTCCCCGCTATTTTCTGGGACGGATTCCTCGTAAGACAGCCACCGAAAATGGCCGCCCTATGGAGGATCTTTGCTGGACGGTGAGTTTTTAGCCCATTGGAACGCATTAAATGGGTTTTAATGCGTTTCAGTGGGTTTTTTATTTTCGCATTACAACGTTTTCGTTCTACAGCGATTTCGCTGGAACGAATTAACGTCGTAATGTGAGGCACCACTGTAGTTATCCCACTTTTCCTTGACTGAGCTCCAGGCAGTACACATGGCTCTCCTCCATATTGGTTGGTTCTCAGGCATCTTGGTAAGGGAGCTCATGCTGACAACTTATGGCAGACCCAGAACACTTGGAGGACTTCTGCGGGACGTGAAGCCTGGACCCCCGGTATACACCACTACAGAACGTCCACCAAGTTCTTAGCTCCTCAGGCAAACAGAATGCCAACCAGAGCTGAAAACAGCTGTGGTCATCATGCAGCTCGTCAGTGCTGGCGCTCAACTTCGTCTGAATGACGGGAGGTTCGACACCTCAGAGCACACGTAGAGTGCGCCTACACCACAAGCTGAGTGAGTAGCTCAAGAACTGTGGTGTGGAGGCCCTCCCCAACCCTGAGGCCCTCCCTGTGCCCCCCCTCAAGTCTGTAGCTCCCTCGTCCACCCCTCTGACTGTAGCCCGCGGCAATGGATGCAACTTTGTGCCCTGAAAAAAATCTCACCTTAAGGATGAAATCAGGGGGGGTGCCAGGCCTAACTGTAGGACGCAGGACCCCATCATGGTGGGAGTGAATCAACGTCTCGTCCAGGTCCAGGACGAGAATTTTCCTCTTCACCTGATCTGGGGGAGGAGAAGGAAGAGAAGCGATTAAGAATTGACGAGGACGAGCACGAGAATGGTCCGCTTCAGCCTAGACATCTCAGTGACCTCAACACTCAGGAAAAGTTTTCCCTTTGGCCGATGGCTTCCCGAACCCGCTCCCTCCTGCCCCCATAACACGGTCAGTGGCCATGCTGGGCAGGGGGATTCTGGGAGCAGTCATGAAAGAAGGACTTTCCCAAGTTCTTGTTTTAATGGTTTTTGTACAACCCTGGGTATGTTTAAGACAACTGTTTCTCAACCTGGGGGTCATGACT